ATCAAAAAATATAACAAATTAAACAGAAGAAGTTTATTATAATAAGGGATGCAATCTTTTAAAAAGGTTATCAATTCATTTGTTTCATTGATCAAGTGGAAGACTCCAGAGACCGATATAATTTATGTATTTTCATCTTTATTGGTAACACGTAAATCTACGGAAGCCCATTTTAGGACCTATCAAAAAACATTTTTGAATTCTATATAACGAATTGTCGAATTTGTTATGACGAATTTAATTCATTATAACAATTTCTTTGAATTTGTTATAACCAATTTAATTTGTTATAACAAATTTTTTGTATTAGTTACAACGAATTCAAAAATTTATTATAACGAATTGAATTTGTTATAACGAATTTTAAAATTTGTTATAACAAATTGAATTCGTTTAAACAAATTCTAAAATTTGTTATAACGAATTAAATTCGTTTAATCAAATTCAACAACCGGGGCCTAAAGAAAAAATATATAAGAATTCGATATAACGATTTGTCGAATACGTTTTAACGAATTTAATTTGTTATAACAAATTTTAGAATTCGTTATAACGAATTCAACAGATTTGTTATAATAGAATGAATTATAAGAATTCAAAGAAATTGTTATAACGAATGAAGTTCGTTATAACAAATTTTTGAATTCGTTATAACGAATTCAACAAATTTGTTATAACAGATTGAATTCATTATACCGAATTCAAAGAAATAGTCATAATGAATTAAATACGTTATAACAAATTCGACAATTCGTTATATCGAATTCAAAAATGTTTTTTGATAGGTCCAAAATGGGCTTCCGTATAAATCACTATCTTAATGTATCTACCTTTAACAAATCTTTTGAAGATTTTTATGCTTCACTAAGTAGAACAAATATTCTTTACATAATGAATTAAATAAAAAATCTTTCTAGAATCGTATTTTGCTATTTATTTTGAACGTTAGCCCATTAATGACCTATCAGAAAATATTTTTGAATTTGATATAGCGAATTATCGAACTTATAATTATGACAGATTAGATTCGTTTAAACGAATTCTTAAATTTGTTATTACGAATTAGATCCGTTAAAGTGAATTAGAAAATTTATAACTATTTTTCTATTCGACCCTAAATGTCGAATTCGATTAAATGAATTTAAGTCCTTATAGCAGATTTTTTAATAATATTGATTTCAAAAAAAAAATTTGATATGTCTAAAATGAGCTACCGTAGTTTTGAAAGTGTACATTCTTTTTTTCTTTTTCTTTCTTTTTTCTTTTTTTTTTTTTTTTTTTTTTTTTTTTTAATATTTTGCATTTTTATTCTAAATATTTTTTGATATTTGTTTTCATTTAAATCAGAATTAAAAAGAAATAAGTTACATACAATATAAAGATCATTTGTTCGTGGTAAACACGTTCAATTGCAAATGAATCATGTACTATAGTAATTGACCAATGCAGAATTCCCATAACAGAAACTCATATCTAAAAGTCCTTAATTGGAATAAGAATATCAGTTAGATAGATGCTTGTATGACAGGACAAAATATACGTTCTATATACTTTTCATATGGCTCATTTTATGTATATTTTACACCAAGTTTATGAATTTTTATAAAGATGATTTTACTTTTAAACAAATTCAGATATCTCATATATATATATATATATATATATATATATATATATATATATATATATATATATATATATATATATATATATATATATATATATATATATATATATATATATATATATACAAAGAACACAAAGTTAACGATGTTGAATTGTATCTTTTCCAGAAAAAACTTTAAGAATCTTTAGTACACAGACAAGAGGGTATTATGTCACCGTTGGAAAAGTCCATTTTCTCTGCCCTAGTTTTCTTCAACACACTGATTGTGGGCCTATGGATCTCTATGTTTAAGACGCATAAAATTAATCATATTAATTCAACTGCTTGTGAGTATTCTTTCAATCACTCAAAAACCTGAATGCTGACTGATGTTTTTCATACTAATATTGTCATTATTTATACACTGAACTGTCTACGGATTTTTCCGGATTTTTTTACCGATCATGACAAGGAGCACACGGCGGACGTGGCCGGACGGCAGGGGATGCTCACTCCTCCATGGCACCTGATACCACCTCTAAATTTTGAGGTCCGTGTTTGCTGTTCTCCAAATTTGTATCGTTTCATTGGACTTTCGAGATTGAATACTGTTCGTTATCTTCATATTTCATCCACTGTTCACATAGCCATTGTCAGAGAATTATGTTTGCATGTGCGAAGATTAAGTTTAATGATCACAATTTTATAATACAATGTACAGGTAATCAGTTCAGAAGTACTGTATCAGATTTTACACTCTTTTTTGTATTTTATCAGGACAATGCTTAATGTTGGAGTTGTGTTACATGTTGAATGAGTAGAGACAAAGGATAAAAATAAAAATTTAGTCATGTGATTCAGAGTGTCTGTTAAATCTGAATAGACCATTTCTATAACCCTTTCCCATTCATTCCCATGTGGTCGTCAATTTTTTTTTACACACAGTGGTTAGAACAAGGTGCGGTTTCAATACAAATCTAGCCCTGTATTAGTCTTAAATATGAAAGATTTAATATGAGAGATTAAAACTCGTGCTTTCTGAATCATTGAAATTACGAAAAGAATTTGTGCGATCTTACTGTATATAAATACAGTAAGATCATACAAATTGTTTTTCTCACATGACCTCCTAAATGCTAATTGTGACGTCATGAAATTGTGCTTTTTGCTTGTGCTTTTTCCTAGGCCTTGTTTTCTTTGAAAGTTGCAGTCATCAATTTTTAGTGGAATTTTCTTTCAGATAATCCGCATCGCCCGCAAATATTTTGAGAAATGTCATCAAAGAATTTTACACAGCATATCCCTTGAAATTGATTATTTTGAGGGTTTTGTGTTTAAAACAGAGAAATGTTTCACATTAATGACGTTATATTTCCAGAATAGTCCTCCTTCATGCCATATTCTTTCATGATTTATCATAGTCCTATACTCGATTCATATTTAAGCCAGTTTCAAAACGTTTTGAAAACTATAAATTTTTAGGGCACAATTAAGCAAAAACCATACCTACTTCTTTCATATAATGAGACGTCACTTAGCACAAGTAGAAACAGATAAAGCTTTTGGAATGCTCCAAAAGGTTGCGACAAAAAGAAATGGTACTGCAATTCAAATGTAAACAAGTTATATTTCTCAAAGTTTGGTTCCAATCTACTGTACAACTCAATCTAAACTTCAGAGTGGCAACTGTCGCCCGCGTGGTGCAGTGGTTAGAACGTCTGCTCTAGAGTAAGGAGTTGATCCTTACATCGCGAGTTCGAATCCCACTGCGGGACGTGGAGACCAGTCCTTCGGATGAGACCGTATAAACCGAGGTCCCGTGTCGCAGTAGGTGGTGGCACGAAAAAGATCCCCTACTGCTCAATGGCGAGTATGGGGCAAAATTTGTAGCCCTCCACCGGCAAGTGGTGGCGTCTTCATATGAGAGAAAAATTCTCGAGAGGGACGTTAAACAACAAACAATCAATCAATCAGAATGGCAACTGGAAAATCACATGTCAGCACAAACCGTTAGAAATAGAATGCAGCTAACCTGTATTGGTATCGACCCGCTACTAGTTATTTGTCCCATTTGTCATGACGCACAAATTATCACTTATACAATGGGCGACGGGCCATCATCGCTGGCAACTGAGTCATTAAACCCTTGTACTCTTTAATATTACTCTTGGTTTTGTGTTGACTTTCACGATGGTCGTAGACAAGTGGCGCATGAAAAAAAGAACGCTTTGCCCAATTGTTAAACTGAGAAACCTTTTGTAACAAAACATGGCTGTACACTTTGTTATGGGTTCCACAGTTAGCAAAGTCACATCAACATGATACGTCGATGCTCTATGCCATGGTCCTATTTCCTTTCAATTTTTATGCTTTTTAAGATATATGTTATTCATTGAAAAAAAAATCACCGTAAAAATCAAGACCTGTAACGTTACTGTTCAGTATATATAGCAGATTTAGCTAATTTTATAAGCGTTAAAAAGTTTGTTTTTTCTATCCAGCAGTTGAAGTAACAACAAGCGCTCATATATTGCCAAAATGTCCTCTCATTCCTCAAAGTTTAGGTAAGTTTCTTATTTCCTTCCACTGAGGATCTCAGTCCAGTTGTTACTGTATCGTGCATGATAACAAAGGGTTAAATAATCATATAACTTATTTGTTGTTGAGATTGTAAGCCGGGTTCATTGCTCGTAGAACAAACGTTAGCTAGTCAGCTTGTTCAAACCGGATATTGACTGAACAACGGCCGAATTAAATTTATGTGTAAACATATAGTACGTAGAAATAATACAACACAAACATAAAAGAAGGTTAAATGAGAATTTTTCTAAACCAAATAAATACTTTTTGTAAAATATTCATTTTTTTTAAAAAAATTATTACATGTGTATAAAACTACTCGGTGCGTAAGGTTTCATCGTCAGTTATAGTGGTCATATCTGACCCTTTTACAAGTCCAAAACTTTCTAAACACACCCTTGTGTGGCAACAATTTTTAAAATGCTTTTCTTTGTTATCATTGTAAATATATAAAATACAGAATGTAAGACTGAAGCTTTAACACTTTCCAGCCAAATGCCGCGTACATACATGTAACAAACAATTTTCTTTTGGTTACGAAAAGTACAATTTTAGAATGAAATTTTGGAATCAACTCAAAATAATAACACATCTGTTCATGTACAAAAATTTGAAATTCATTTAAAATGATTCATTTTTTATACATATACCAATCAAACACACCTATGCATAAAAAACCTCTTTGCAACATACCAGGTCAAATATAATGAGCATTTTATACATGTATATACTCTGTTTCCTTTTCCTAGAAACGATTATCTCATTCAAAACTTCAAGTACATTTTTCTTTTTAACAGTCGGAAGAGTCAGAGTAGATAAAGTTCCTAAGAAATGGGAAGTTCTTGAGTACAAATATAGTATGATAGCTGGTGGTCGGCATCGACCTGAAGACTGCACTGCCCGCCAAAAAGTAGCCATTATTGTTCCATATCGAGACAGAGATATCAACCTTCGAATATTTCTCAACCACATGCATGCCTTTCTCATGAAGCAACAATTGGATTATAGAATTTACGTTGTAGATCTTGTAAGTTTTAAATGTGTGTGGTTGTAATGTATCCTTTATAGTTCATTGAAATCTTGCTTGAAGCTAAAGGGTAATGTACGGAAGCCGTTAGGTGCCAGGTAGAAAATATTTTATCTAATAATTTTCTGATGGTCGCCATAGAATTATCTGGCGGCCGCCAGAAAATTATTTGGCGGTCGCCAGATAAGTTTCTGGCGGCCGCCAGTTATTTATTTGGCAGCCGCCAGAAACTTATCTGGCGGCCGCCAGGTAAAATATTTTTTCAACCTGGCACCAACCGGCTTCCGTAGAAATGAAAGGTGATAGAAATACTAAAAATACACTACTTATAGTGGATAATAGTACAGCTTGTCTTGTTACATTTTGGGTTGGAATTCTTAAGCATTTGCTCTTTATACAGAGAAGCTTATTTAAAAAAAACTGTGGAAGATTTGTGTAAGAAAACATAAAAAGAATAGATCGAGTGCTTCTATTTTTTAAATTATTTTTACCTGTTTGTAAATTGTTATATATTTCATAATTTACAGGATAAAAAGATTCCATTCAACAAAGGATTTCTATTGAACGTCGGGTTTATGGAAGCCACTGAAGATAATGAGTATGACTGCTTTATTTTGCATGACGTTGATTTTATCCCAGAAAATGACCATAATCTATATACATGTGCAGTTGACCAACCCAGGCATTTATCTGTAGCGATGAACAAATGGAAGTACAAGTAAGTATGCTGGAAAATCTTTTTTTATAAAGATTTATTTAAGTTAATTTTGGCTGTCTAAATTTTATCAATTAGCCTAATACTTATAACTTGGGGGGAAAAAAAACAATGGATGAGAATGAACGAAATTCCAAGAACCACAAAAAATCACTTTTTCACTCTTTCAGACTTCCATATCCCAAATATTTTGGAGGTGTGGTAGCGATGACGATGGAACAGTTTGAGGCAATTAATGGATTTTCAAATGAGTATTTCAGATGGGGTGGCGAGGACGATGATTCTTATAATAGGTATTTTGGCGGTATAAAACGATATTCCTGTGGTTCTGCTTATAAAGGTAGTCCCTCTTTTAAAGGGGTCTAGACACAGTTGCATTGTTTAAAATTTTAAATGTCTAATTTTTATTCAAAAAATAACTTCAGTTTAATGATTTGAACTTACAATTCAATGACAACGACATTCTTCATAACATCACGTCGAACACCTGTGTTTTTAAACAGGGAACGGGCTCTGTTATTGTTAGTGTTTACGTTTTACCGGGTGTGTTCAATTTACATATGTGTTTAGTCTGCACCCGTCACTGTGCACGGACTAACATATAATACTTGTGATTTGGTTTTGCTTTCTTGCATTTCTGCTCTGAACTTTCTGGATTATAGTTTTCATTTTTTTTCTCCCGTAATCGAAGATTCTGGGGTATATAGTTTTTGCCCTGTCCGTCCGTCTGTCTGTCTAGCTGTCTGTCTGTTTGACTGTTTGTCCGCAAAACTATAACATTGCCCATAACTTTTAACCTTTGCTATAAGTTGCCATACGGGGGCATCAGTGTTTCAAAAACACATCTTGTTTTTCATTAATACTCAACAAAATTTCTACTTTTCTTAAATACATGTATTATGGATAAAGTTTACTTTGTGAAAGTGCAAGGATATGTGTCAATCAAACGCGTCCCGAAAGTTGAAGTTTTAATAATTTCCGGATAAAAGAATTTACTTAACACGCTTTTAATATATTTCAGTGTGGAATGCTCTAGCAACATATAAGTACTTAAGAAAATATGAGCTTCAAATCTTTGTTTCAGCCCTTTTAAACTACCCTTAATATGACTGTGTTGTTAGGTGAATCTCAATATGTAATTCAATATTCATTGCTAAAGACAAGAGTCATATTTTTGAGATGCAGATTTTAAAAATTCACACCAAAGCAAGTACTTCGCGAAATCTTACGAATTTGCTTCAAAATATTTTTATAAAAAGCTTCATGAACAGATGATACAAATAAACTTTTTTCAAAAATCTTAAAATAGCAACTTTAGTCACATTTATATGAGTAAAATAAATAAGTTTAACCATGTAGATTTTAATTTTTCGTTCAAAGTTTCACAATAATGGGATATAAAGTGACCCCCCAAAAAATTGTTTAGATTAATAAGGATGGTTGTAGAAAGTTAGAATTTTGAACATCATAGACAGTTTACAATTTCTTAATATTGTAGATTTTTATCATCTACTTCATTTACAACCAAAATAGGTCAAAAACTATATACCAATCAGGCATCCATTTTTTTGGTATCATATCTCCTTAAGTTTAAAACTACCCATTTACATAATATTGTATTGCTTTGGACAAACCTGGATATGCAAAACGCTTTGAATTTAACTGATAACTCGGTGCATATTGTAGTAATGTAGACTCAGATTTATTATAACAAATGTGGATAAAATTTAAAAATAGTTCGTTTTACCTAATGAAGACTATTTTGTCCATATATACAGGGTTGCACATAGTCACATGACAATATACAGAGCAATGGGTGATGTAGGAAGATACACCATGCTCCCTCACAAGCAGGCTGTTAAAAACCCAAAAATGTAAATATAATATCCACGATATCTTGATAAAAGAGATTAACAAGTGAATGAATAATACTACAATGTATGTTTTTATCCTATACTATTGAGATATAGAGTTTAAAACTAAGTAAACTGAGGTGTCAAATGTATCTCATTTTTACAGGTACAGTTTGATGAAGACTGGAATAAAACGCATGAAAAGAGATGGTTTAAACTCCTTGAAATATAAAGTTTTGCAAAGGTCTGATAGAAAGCTATTTACATATATAATGACCACTTTAGATAGGACGAATCGTTGAAAATGCGTATTGTGATATTTTAGATATAAAGAACAAATATTACAATGTATCTGAATGTATTGAACTTTGCACTAAAACATTTTGCATGTCTTAAATTGACTTATGATGTATTATTTATTCATTTATTTTCATTTTCAAAATCGCTCCTATTCTTATGCATTTTTTGTTCAATGCTCCATTAAGGAGGAGTGGTACACCGAAATTTTATTTAATGGATATTTTTGAAAAGGATTTTTTTTGTAATACAATGTATGGTTTCAGCATGGAAAGATTGATATAAGCTCTTAATCATTTAAAGATTTTTTTGTTGTTTTTTCCCCAAGAAAATGTCAAGATTGTTTTATTTGCAAATAAAAAGATCTATTAAATAAAATTTTGGAGTAGCATTCCACCTTAACTTGTATTCATGTCTAACCATAAATTTAAAAACCAAAATGAATGGAATTATATAAAAGCAGTATGAAATATGGATCTTACATTTGTATGGAAGAATGAGAGGGAAAATAAAAATTGTCAATTTTATTGTCAAGATTACCTAAACTTTCACGAATCTGAGAACAAATGTTTTAAGTAACCCATTGTTAAGGACATACGCAACGTAGTTTGTACTTTATTGTCTCTTCCCCTGGAGTTGAAGAGTTCCAATACTTAAAGGAACTGTGTGCTACATTTTAATGTCTATATATGCTGTTGTACACTTCTTCTAAAACAAGTTTGGATAAACAAAACATCAAGAATATATGTTTAGTAATTTTTGTATATTTTTCTTTGAATTATACAAGAATTTTCATCAATTGATATCTTTTCAAAACCCCTGGTAATGCATGCTGAATTTTTGTCTACGAACATCTGATGGCATTATAATCTTAAATTAAAAATATCTTGAAAAATTATCAGTAGGTAAGGTACCTTGCGTATGTCCTTAAGGAAAATTTCAAAAAATGATTTCCATCACTGATCAGCCATGTACCTCCAATCACTTGATTCTGCATTAATATAGTGCTTTGGCTGTGTGACACGATGTTAACTACATGAAATGGTTTTACAGTGAAGATTTGTTTTTCTTTTACTGCAAATCCGCATCTTCAGGAGTTAATTTGCACTTACATATAATGCGCATGCATGTTAACATAAGTTATCTCAATTACAACTCAGTAAGTTGTGTTCTCAATGGAAAAGCATTTGGTTCTTCATAGTACAAATCACCCTCTCAGTAAAATTTGCTTTGGGTTGCATTTTGAGTGCTTCACATTTATTGCTTCTTTCCTCAGAAATGTATTTACCCAACGAATTTAACTTCACTACCCTTATCTGTTCCACGGATTTGAGGTTTTCGTGCCTTTTGGAAACTTATTTCAAACCATCAACGATATTTTGATTGTGTGTGTTTTTAAGGGGACTATAAATAAAATTTTTAAAGCCATCATTCTGGGTTGCATTATTAATGTCACCATCCCACAAAGAATTGATTGCTGTTCATTCTTTCTTTGAATAATGAATGTATATTCAAGTATACACAAACTGAATAATATATAAATCCCTTTTCTCCTTTTAATTTTCTACCATTCCTCATATATAAATTGTTCAATTATGAATATTAAACTGAAAGTGAGTCATTGTTGTGCTCTCACACATTATGTTGAGAAATTTTATTGTTGGAAATTAATTTGCTTCTGTTTTCTTCTGTTTTTTTATTGCCAGTTTGAACTAAAATGGTTATATAACGGCATAATACGGACTGAAAAATTAATTTGATTGCGAAAATATTTCAATCTGCAGCTCAAAATAAAAATAGCTTGTTTCATGATAAAGTCATTAACATGATACGTAATATAAACGGACACATTTTACTTCAAATCTTTATCCTCTTAGTATGTTGATATTATGGGTATCACAGTTGTATTTGACAGAAAAACAATTTAATCTAATGGTAGATCTTGATATCATCCTAAAAATGTATGTACGTTTTCGTAATTTATCACTTTTTAATTGTTCCTCTTATACATTGTGTAGAAAATCTGTTAAATAACATTTGAAAATGTTAAAAAATCATTATTTGTCTTCATAACCTTCTCAATTACATTTTTCTCTTTTTTTTAAGCCCCCCCCCCCCAAAAAAAAAAAATTAATTGCGACATTCACAAGAATTTCTCCTTGTGTAATTCCAAAATACACATCATCTCAATAAATGAAGCTCCCAATCCTCCCCACCGGTTACAATGTGCATGCATGTCTTAATATTGGTACAAGGCTGAACTCAGATTTTTAAAAATGCAATTGTACGTAAGCAAGCAATTGTTTATTTATCATATTACAAATATCATATAACTACAGTTTCACATAAAATATTTGCACCTGCCTCAGAGACACAATTTGCACAATTTAAAAATAAAACATGTCTATTCTTCTTTCAATGCGATGAAATATTTGAAATATGAAATCAGGCATTAATACATTATTTTAAATACTGTACCCATGTGTTTCCTTTCTTGCTCATAAAAGAACATGATTTGGCTATTGCACCCTGCATATCAAATTGTTCATTAAAAATATAGCTTTTCCTTTTCATACCAAAACGTGTGTCTAATAATTTGGCTGTTTCAAGTAAATAACAGCGCTAAAAATCACAATATTATAAAAAAGTGATATTAATTCTTTACAACATTGTCTACACAATATTTACAAGTTTTACAATGTAAAGGCATCATTGAATTGGCAGATATCTATAGATTATCATTTTTGTAAGGGTAATTAACCAATGCGTAAATTGGAAAAGTGCTGGCAATTTTGAGTTAACTGTACTATTTTAAAGGTTTATTTGGGAGGTGGTTAATATTTTTTTTAACATTATCCTCCTAAAAAAGTAAAATGCACATAGCAAAGTACTAAAGTTCTTAAACAATATCATTCAAATGAAAATTGGGTCTTAATAGCAAATTCCAACATGGAAGCATTCCTTTTAGGAAACATCAATCAGTTTAGCTCAATAGTACATGACAGGTTCCGCAAGAGATTTGTACAACTTTCCACAGACATTTTAAATAATGACGCCTCATTATAGCAATTTATAGAGTGCAGAAAGTGATCTGCTTGCCGACTTGCTGAACTTTTTATCATTTTAAATTCTTATATTCAATTATTTTTAGTGTGGGGAATACTTTTTCGCAATTTGTTAAGTAGTATTTTGCATCAGAAATTGCATCTAGAACATCGACAAAACTGTAAAAAAAAATATTTAGTAATTAAAACTATATGATACAGAAATCATGATGATGATCTTATTCGTTTTGCACTGAAAATACTGAAAATTATACGGTGAAGTTGTTTATATAATATATTTTGTTACAAGCACATCATATGCATAATTTATGAATTTTGAAAAAAAAAATTATAAAATTAAGAACTGTTCAGACAATTTTAACAAAGAGAAGTAAGCTTAAACATGATGGTATGTTTAAGTACATGCAACATATAATCGATAAGTAAAATAAGAGGAATTTATACACTGTATTTCATATAATAAAAAGTAATATAATTTTAAAGCAAACACACATCGGCTATATATTACAAAAGTGATTAAAACTTCTACACATGAACTTTTTCTGAAGCTCTTGTGGAGCTGTTTGTAAAAAGAATACAATCTAAATTTTAGTAATTATTGTATTTTCTCTTTCAAATTTTTCCTTCTTGCCAGAAAACCGAGAGGAACTACCCCCAGTATTACTCAGAAAAGATTTATTAATACTCGTTCCTGCAATATCTGATGGTTTGACTAAAAATTTATTTTTCAACATGCCCAGAACTTTCCTATTACATACATTCGAAATGAATAAGAATACTCCCTGGGAACCATTTACAATTGTTGCCAAAAATGAAAATAGTGAAACCTCGAAAAAGCCGTCAATAATTACCAAAAGCCAGGTTATTCCAGTCAACAAGAACAATTTAAAGAAGATGGAAAATTCATGTCTGTCTTTTGAGCTCTTTAATTTAGGTGTTTTGCGAATGCAGTTAAAACTGATCGAAAACATGATAACGTTAAAGATAATTTGGAGAACCACTGGGAGAATAAACAATAGAAGTAAGGCTAGAGGACTTGCTAGAAAACATTTGTTTCCTCCATACCCGAACCTAAAGGATTGCACTGCTGAGAAATCAAAGATAAGGTTGATGGCAACTGGAAGGATAGGTGAGAAAAAGGCAACACAACAATATTTATAGAATAATTTTCTTTCAGCCGATTCATTGCCGTGTAGCAAAGAATTCATGACAAATAATTTAAACATATGAAAACTAGAAATGTTTGTACAGGTGAAAACTGAAACCCAGAAATAATGTGTTAGCCCACCTACCCAACTACACCATAATTTGTCTTTGATATGAGATTGTACCAGGAATAACAGCTGAGCAAAGAAAAGAGAGAAAATAAAACACATGATGATTTTACCTGGTAGAGTCCTTAAAATCGGAAAAGAGCAGTATGTAAAGATTGTCAAAGTCAAAGATGTCAATGAGACAACTGTACATATGTTTGTCAAAACATTCAGAATTCTTTGCATGACAGATTCTGCGAAGATGTGTAGATCAAGTTTGTAAGAATCTGAGCAGATTCGGATGCTCCCATTGCTACTTTTTATGTATTCGTTAATATCAAACTTTTTCTTAATTGCTGGTATGAAAATATGAATATGATCTCTCAAAAAATAAAATTCACTCTGATCTATTTGTATCTGTGTACATGTCAATAAAGCATTGACGTCAAAAATATATGTGTTATTGATGGTGAGTGAAGAAAATTTTCTAAGACAGTTTTGGGATGTCTTTTGAGTATATATGATAGGAAGATACCACGCTTGCACACTCTCCTTAAACTTCAGAGAGACTCCTTCAAAATTAATTGTAAGCTGTGGAAAATTTATTAAATGTTCTTCTAAAGCTGTTCGATTTATTGAATTTGAAAACAACGAGGTAATCCTTATCTGAAGAGAGATAATGGCTTC